CACGCCTGGTCAGACCTTAAGGCAGCCTGAGCCAGCCCAAAAAAAAATCCTTTTCAAAGTTAGAAGGAAGAGAAAAGTAGTACTGCAAGGACAAACAAAAACACCAAAATGATGTCTAGGATTTAGGGGCAGTTTTATTTTACATTGACAGGTGCTAATCAGGATCATTCTCAAAATATCAGGCCCTGAAGGCTCAGGGAGGGAGGGTTTTATGGGATTGCAAAGGGGAAGTACAGAGAGAGCTAAGTTGTCTTCGAGTGGTTCTTACAATATGCATCATAGCAACCAGTTATGCATTTCAGGGACCAGCTGTCTCTACAAGACAGAAGCAACCAGAACTGCAATAGGTACTATTACTTGGACAACCAAGAAACTAAAGTATACTGCCTGAGGGAGCCTTTTTCCATTATAGTACTAATTGGTCAGTAGCAAACAATTTTACTTATATAGTATTGTCATAAGATCCCAAGATATTTTCATTTTCACTAGGCTCTCTCTCTCTCTCTCTCTCTCTCTCTCTCTCTCTCTCTCTCTCTCTCTCTTTCTCTCTCTCTGTCATTGCTTTTTTTAATCTTGTGAGTTCATCAGAAATCTCATAATAATCAGTATTGTTTTCTCACAGAGATCCCTTTGATCTACTAGATGCTGTTTCCTGATACCATACTGACTAAAGGTTACCTCCCATTCTCCTCTACTGAGGCTCTGCTGTACCTCTGAACATGATCTAAAAGGATACGTTGTCTGGTTCTCTTACATTCACATGGAGCCACAGGATGCCCTAACACAGCTTTTGTATATGCAAGCTTTGGGAGAGAAGTAGATATGTCAAACAGTAACATTTTTCTCCTACCACAGAAATGTCTGGGTACCTGTTTTGATTCCTTAATTTTCTTTCTTTCTTTCTTTCTTCTTTCTTTCTTTCTTATTTCTTTCTTTCTTTCTCTTTCTTTCTTTCTTTCTTTCTTTCTTCTTTTTTTGTATTTTAGCGAAGGTTCTACAGGGTGTTCAGGGTCTCACTACTACATTGGACTTGTAGTGATCTGCCTGTTTACAGCCTCCCAAGAGCTAGGATTACAGCACATGCGCCACCACCCCCAGTCTCATCGCACCCGGGGCGGGAATCAAACCCCCGGCCCCTGCGTCTGCTTGCAGGCACTTTAATTTATTATTTAATTTTCTTTTTCTTTCTTTTTTCTTTTTAGTTGTGTGTGTGTGTGTGTGTGTGTGTGTGTGTGTGTGTGTGTGGCCAGCTCAGCCCACCAGGGAGCGGGGCTGGCTGGCATGTGGTGCTGGGGGATTGAACAGCAGTCCCTGTGCTTTGTTAAGCTTGTTCTAAGTAGGTGCTTTTGACCACTAGCCATCTCACCAGCCCCCAATTCTTTAATTTTCTTAAAAGGAATCAATAACTGGTCCACGGAACTTCCCAGTTCTCTCTCTCTCTCTGTCTCTGAAAGCTGCTATATGGCTCTCCCCACTTACTCCACCCTTTCTTCTTTGGTAAGGGAGGTATTAACTCTTTCTCTTTCACAACTTTCTCTCAAGAGTAATCCTCCTTACAAATTTTATATCCCTCAACATCTAAAACTAGAAATTCCATTTGATCCAGCCCTTTCTCCTCGTATCTTCCCAAAAGAATTAATGATGTCATAGCACAGTGACCCATACACACCCATGTTTATAGCAGTATATATAATTCGTAATAGCTAAATCGTGGAAGTGGGCTATGCCCACCAACAGATAAGTGAATAAAAATATGGTGTTATAAACAATAGAGTACTACCATGCCATATTAAAAATAAACTTGAGTCATCTGTATGCATGCTTTCAAATTGAGCCCATTATGTCTAATGAAATAAATCGGACATACAAACATAAATAGCAGAAGGCTCCAGGGCTATAGCTCAGTGGCACAGCACCTACCTGGGAAGTGAGAGGTCAGGAGTTTGATTCCTAGTACAAAAAAAATGGCTTCTAATATTTGATAAACTCAAATTAAATAAATTAGAGAGAAAATAAAAGGTGGGTAATAGGAAACAGGGAGATACCTCAAGAGATGGAAGAGGCAGACAGGGGAAGAAAGGAGAAGCGATGAAAAAGGAACTAAGTTGTGTGCATGCGTCAACTCCCAGGGGTGAATGCAGTAATTACTTACTATGAACATCTTCTAATAAAAAAATAAAGTAAAAATTAAATGTGATTAAAAAATCTCATTCAACATCTATCAAAGTGTACCTGTGCATGCCTTACATCTGTATCAAAATCCTCTGCCCTCAGCAAAAAAAATAACTTCTTAGAAAATGAGTCTAAGACAATGCAGGCTACAGTTCTCACCAAAAGGCCAACTGCCTTTTGCATAAGATCCTAAGCAAGCACCAAATGACAGTGCACAAAATGATACGTGTAACTTCAAGATGACAGTGAGATTATTTTACTTGCTATCTGTATGCAAAGCAGTAGGCAAGTGGAAGAATCATAAATTTCAATATAGTTTGTCATATTTGACTATAATCACCTCTTCATCCTTTTGTAAATTATGTATTCTCATTCTTATCTAACCTATCTTCTGCCTTCATAAAGATACAAGGGAATTCAGAATCTGTTGCTTGTGCTGCATTCATTCTAGAGAGAAAAATCTAACTCTAACATTGCAGTATAATAAGTAATAAAGTCTAAGCTAATGGATATTTCTAGAGAAAGTGTACCCTACCACCTCATACCCCACCACATAATTTTTATAACTCTCTTAATTACAACTTTGAACATCTCTCATTCATATCAGCATCCTTTAACACCTTGTTCATTTATTTCTTTTTCACTTTTTTTATTTTAAAGAAAATAAAAAATGATAGATAAAACATTAGAAATGACACAGAGTTTCAGAAGATGATAAGAATTCAACAATGGTTGTTGTCTAAGGATGATCACAGTATTACTTCTCTTTCTCTTTGTCTTTTCTGTTCTCTACTGTCTAAATAACAAATTCCTTGTATCAAATATTCTTTGTTCATAACTGCTGCAGTTTCCATATAAAGCACGAGGGCCATAACTATAAAAAATTTCCTTGAGGAGAACGCCCAAATAGAGAACTGAGCATACATCCAGTTGGATATATTTCTATAGTTGCTATCTGCTAATTTTGAAACTGCAAAAAAAAAATCACTTTATTTGGAGAAGGTATTCCCTAAAACCACAAATGGACTTATGAAGTTGTAAGTATGAATTTAGCACTACTAGAAACACTACAGATTAAAGTTGAATTCATCAGCATTGTTTTTGACAGAGACTTAGGCTAAAAATCTTTCCTGAGATATAGAAGAAAGGGCAAGTATTTTACCAAATGAGGGTAAATTACTGACAAGACAATAAGACATTGATTGATTATGATCCTAGCTATTGAACAAGGGGGTTAGGAAGGCCGGAGGCAAAGAGGGAAAAACAGATATTTTGAACAATAAAGTAACATGAGCCATGTCTGTTATCTGATTTACATAATAAGTCTTGGTAAATTGGAATTTTAATATACATTTCCTTTCCATTGGTCAACAGAAGTAATTCCACTTCCTTCAGTAAAGAAGAAATATAAATCAATAATGAGATACTTCACATCTTTACACTAAAAAAAGGTAATTCCACATTTGGGAATAAAGATGGGTCATATGTTATATAAATCACTGAAAATCTGTCACTATAAATGAAGAAATGCTCCTATGATCATTATGACTATTTAGGAAACTAATGACAACTTTGAACATCTCTCATTCATATCAGTGTCCTTTAACACTTAGTCTCCTTGTTCATTTATTTCTTTTTCACTTTTTTATTTTAAAGAAAATGAAGAATAATAGGTAAAACATTAGAAGTGACACAGAATTGCAGAAGATGATAGGAATTCAACAATGGTTGTTGTCATATTGCGCACTGTTGTCCTCAAAGTAGTTGCTCAGATTACAGATATAAGCATGTAGAATGGGTCAAAATAAAAACTTTAAGCATTAACTATTGTCCTCAAAAAAAACAATAGAAATTACTGGGCCGGTGAGATAGCTCAACAGGCTAAAACACAAGCTTTAGGCAGGCACATGGACCATGTTCGATCCCCAACATGCCATACGAGCCCTGCCCTCTGGGCAGGCTGAGCCAGCCACCCAAAATAAATAAATAAATAAATAAATAAATAAATAAATAAATAAACAAACTGTGAGCCAAAACAAACCTTTTAAAAAATAGACATTATTAATACAATCATCCTAGCTATCCTGTATATATACATACATGGGATTTTTTTTCTCCTCCCTTCTTTTCTCCTTTCCCTCATCTCTATTGTACTTCCCTTTTAAGCAATTTCTTTCCCTTTCATTATATCTATTATACCTTTCAGATTTTATTTATTTTTTCAGGCTCTTACACTAGGAAGGGTCTTATTTCACTTCTGATATATCCTCTCGTTGCATCCATTTACTATAAGATCTTATCTTTCTTTATAGCTGAGTTGTACTCCATTGTCTAAAAATAGCACATCTTTTTAAAAAATTGTTCTGCTATAAATGCGCACAAATATGGTAGTGGTGGAAAAAATACCCAGAAGGAGCATAGGTGAGTCAAATCATAGTTTAGTCTCCTTGTTTACAATAACAGTTATCTTTGGGAAAAAAAATTTGTGTTTTAGGGAAGGGTCTACAGGATATTCAGGATCATACTACTAGATCAGACTCATAGTGATCTGCCTGTTTACAGTCTCCCAAGAGCTGGGATTAGAGGCGCACGCCACCATGCCCAGTCTCTGTTGCCATCTCAACACACCCCTGGGGAGGGCCTGGCAGGGCAGGCCTGAGGATCGAACCCCGGGCCCCTGTGCCTGCTCCCAGGTGCTTTAATTTGATGAGCTACATGGCCAGCCCTGGAAAAATATTTAAAACAAACATCATTCTATACACTTTAAAGTCTCTGAATGGTATGATCCTTAACCTCACAAGAATAGAGAAAAGGTTGAAGAAATGCTTCTAGGTCTTTGTCATGCTGGAATGGCGAGCTTTCAGCACAGCCCTGCGTATTTGCTTGGTCTTCACACTGTAGATGGTGGGGTTCATGACAGGAGGGATCAGCAAGTAGGCATTGGCAATCATGGTATGCACATAGGGCGGGGCTTGCTTTCCAAATCTGTGGACAAAGGACAGACTGATCAGTGGGATGTAGAATACAGCCACAGCCCCATTATGAGAGATACATGTACTGAAGGCTTTCTTCCTCTCCTCTGGGGAGGCAATACTGAGGACAGTCCTAATGATCAAAGCATAGGACAGGACAATGAAGATGGAGTCCACCCCAGCAGTGGTGATGAGAGCAGTAAGCCCAACTGCACTGTTGATCCTGGTGTCTGTGCAGGAGAGCTTCATTACATCAGGATGGAAACAGTAAGAGTGGTGGAGCACGTGGCTACTGCAGAAGGAGAGTCGTTTAAGAAGTGCAACCATTGGTGTGAGCACCAGGGTCCCCCTGAGGACAATCGCCACTCCAATTTTAGCTATTCTGGACTCGGTTAAAATAGTGGCGTACCTGAGGGGGTTAGAGATGGCCACAAAACGATCAAAAGCCATAGCCAACAGCACGGAGGATTCCATGACAGTGAACAGTTTAATAAAGAACATCTGTGACAAGCAGGCATTGAAGCCGATCTCCCTGGCATTGAAGCAGAATATGCCCAACATGGTGACCAGTGTGGATATGGACAGCCCGAGGTCAGTGGTGGACAACATGGAGAGGAAATAATACATGGGCGTGTGGAGGCTGGGCTGAGTGGTAATGACAAAGAGGATCAGGCTGTTTCCTGAGAGGGCAGTTGCATAGAGAAGGCAGAAAGGGATGGAGATCCAGGTGTGGAAGGCTTCCAGCCCGGGAACGCCAGTGAGCAGGAAGATGATGGGAGAGGACGTGACATTCGGGAGAGCTTCCATGTTGACCTCAATCTACAAAACCTTAAGCTGAGGTCCCTGCAAAAGTAAAATGCATTATTTTTTTAATCATTCAAATGAAATTAATTATTTCACTATGCAAATATTTTTGAACTGCAACATCCATATTATATAAATAGTGTCTGGAAATTGGTTTTAAAAAGAAGAAAACAGCTTACAACCATACCCAAGAAAAAGAGCAAAATTTCTAAATGAACAATTATATGAGGAGGTAGAATTTTTACACAGACAATGGAAGCAATAATCTATCTTGTTTATTTCACAGGTGCGATTAAGGAATCTGGAATATTATTTCCTATGTAATTTTGTACTACATTTCAAATTTGAGTAATCAATACAATCATAAACAGAATTGTTAAGGATAAGGAATACCAAATACAAGTTTATAGAAAGATTTGTGTTATGAATTTTTAACCTTCTCATAATATCAATTTTATTAAATGTATTTATTGTAAATTTTGTGGCAGTTGGACTACAGACATTCTTGATTTAACAACCTATTTTTTTATTGACATTCAAACTTAGGACCCAACACTCATCTTTACAGTCCATCTTTTACTTTTCTTTTCTTTTCTTTTCTTTTTTTTTTTTTGGTATGGTTCTGTACATCTTGTACTTGGACCCACATTGTCTTTTTGAACAGTATACCTTGTGTATATAGTACTGTATTTTTACTGACTATATTATACAGTACAGTGCTGTGGTTTTATGTTCTGTTTTACATTAGAACACTGCATGTGAGAGTTATGCAGATAAAAGCAAAGTTAGCGAGCTTAAGTTGCCTTTGGCTATTTCTTTATCCTGAATGTTGTAATGTATACATTACAAGTAACTCCCCATTCAGTGACTAATTCATTTAATGACCTAGTTGTGGGAACTGAATTCTGTCATTAGACAAGGAATACACACAATATAGCATTTACCTTCTGGATTACCATTCAACAAATTACTTAACTATATGTGGTGCTTTTTCCTTACCTCAAATAACAAAAATATGCAAGCCACATAAGATCATGTTAAGGATTATATTGGGTAATATATCTCAGTAGTGTCTCACTATGGTAAAAATTTGCCCACTGTCTCAGTTACTTTTATCTCATTGATGGGACAAAATACTTTACACCCAAAATTAGGAAGGAAAAGTTTATTTAGCTCACAGTTAATGGAAGTTTCAGTCCATACTTAGCTGGCTCCAAGGCAGACAGCAGCCTTTCAGGGTGGTAGAAAATAGCAAAGAGCCAACCCAGGGGCAACAGCAGGGCAGCTAGCAAGCCTTTCACCCCTCCCCATATTGTAATGCAGATTACCCACACCCATGGATTACTCACACCCATAATCCCAGCATTGGTTCATGGATTAATCACAAACTCTAGAAGCCACCCCAGTGACTACACAATGCCTTGGGGGGACAACTAGACACAAACCATAAGACCCACTATGAGCTATTATCATATAGGGAAAAATTAAAATTGAAATATTACCTAGACACCTCTGTCTTTCTTTACCTATGTCTACACATGTCCTTTTCTCTGACAGATGAGAGAAAAACATGAGAATATTTTCTGAGCCTGAGTAGGCAGTGTCCATTAGTTAATTTATTGTATTCATTTGCTCTCTTCAGCTACATTTTTCTCATGAGCCCTTCATCTTTACTAACTAAAAAGAATACCTTTGTTTGCCTATCCAGCCTTACTACATAGCCTGTCAGTCAACTGTGGATGCCAGTTAAGTTTAACACCAAACATCACTGAATATAAACTATATTCTGGACTATAAGGATTTAGAATGAAATCAGATGCTATACCTGCCCTCCATGATTATTAGGGAAAAAAATAGGATGTTTAATAAAACAAATGCATACACAAAGAATTAAAACATAGTGTGTTAGAAACAAATAGAATTGTGTTTAAAGTATGGCAGTTGTATGTTAGAAGATTGTATGGCAGGCATCAGAAGGCTTCTCTAAAGAATACATAGGTGGAAGAAGATAGGTGCAAATTATCGTGGAAAAAAGTATTAATGTATCTAAATACAACAGCATTTCCAACAGTTTAGAAATGTCAGAGTACCAGATACAAAGTAATAGAAGGTAGCACTTCTTAAAGGTAATGGTGAGAGGCAACAGGAGTCAAATGTAGACTAATGTTGCCATACTCTAGAAGATAAGGAACTGTACCTTCACCACAATCTTTGTCAACCTGCTGACCTCCACCCTAACCATAACTCTCAGAAACAACTACTTTTGAATGCTGCCTCCCTGTGGCATGTATGTCCTTCCTTTCACCAGTATCTCATAAAGTGAGTGTGTACCTTCATTTCCCTCTTTCACAGTCATTACATCTAGTAGAAACTTGACTTCTATTTTTGACTGAAACATACTTTGTTGTATGAGTCACTCTTGGCTGCACTCAAAATTACTAAAGTTTAGTACCTTGAGAGAAGGCACATTCCTGATCTCACAGTTTTAAGTAACGTGTCTCAGCCAAGCACCACCAGGCCCTCTGCTCAGGAATTAACTGGGTTGATTGAGCTTTCTGCCAGAGCAGCATTCTCATCTGGATTTCAGAGGTCCCTTCCAAGGTCATTTAGGTCAGTTGGTTGATACAGTTTTGTTATTGATGGCACAGGTTCTTAACTATCTGTCACCTGGGATTTATCTTTGCTGCTGGTTGCTTCTCTCGGTCTCATCCTTATAGTCCTCTCATAACACAACCTCACAATTCTTCAAATCCATCAGAGGACTATCTTTCTACTCGTCTTTTCAAAGGGCTTATGTGATCAGGTAAAACTGACTCAAGGTAATCTTCCTGTGGATTAACTAGAAGATTTAAGCTAATCTTAAATCTTAAATTAGCAGAAATTTAGCAGAAATCTTCTATGTAGCTGCTGAGCCCTTTTGCCACTTGCAGTAACAACATAATCATGGCAGTGACATTCCATCATATTCATGAGCTCCATTCATACCAAAGGGATAGAACCATACATAGCAAGTAAAATAATGCAAGTAGGAACCTTTAAGGACCTTGGAGAATTCTGCCCACCAGCACAGCCAAAGCCATCCAGCACCCACACTTTCACAGGTTTGGCTTCTACAGTGTCCCTTGCACAACCACCCATACCCTCCAGTTTCATCATCACTACTTTACATAATGCTCCACCTATAAAAAAAATTCACAGAATTTCTCTGGCCTGTGGCTAAGGGTTTCCAGATGTTCTCTGCAGCAGTGACAATGGGGCGTTTAGAAAATGCATCATGCAGCCACTCCTCACCCTCCTGCGAGCTCTTCATTGCCTTCAGCATGTTGTTGTGTTCTATAGTTCTTTAACACAACACTCAGAGACCTTTCCAATCTGGCCAATATCTACTCTTACCGTGACCTGTTCACTTCCTCACTACCAGAGCCCTTCTGATGTTAGCACTGGCCAGCATGGATTTTCAGTTGCATATAAAATGAAAATCAGCCATGAGCTGATACTTGTCTCCTGATACCCAACACCCTTCTTTCCTCTCTTCTTTGGGTCCTTTATAGGGAAAGATCCCTCTGCCAGCTTCCAAAATGGCACCAATCAGCTGCACATTCTTGCTCAATGCAAGCGACCATCAGCTGTTTTAAAGTTAACAGCACCCTTTTCACCACTTAAAGCAGGCAGCTACCGGAAGGCCTTGAGGACTTCCATTCATGGGAGACTGCAACTCCTGGCACAATTTTGTTCTCTATCACTCTCGTGGCTGCCAGCCATCTTCAATGTTACCAGCTCCAGCCACTAGCCACTCTCACTCCAGTGACCCTTGATGTTATCAGCTCATCATGAAAGCCTCACAACAAGCATCAACAATAAACAAGAATAGACCATCTGGAAAAACCTTTATTACAACTTATACTGCATACTTTCAGATTTAAGAGAAATCACAAGGGGGTCAGGGAAATAGCTCAGTAGAGTAAGTGCTTGTCTGGCAAGCACAAGGGCCTGAGTTCAATCCCCAGTTCGGCAAAAAAAAAAAAAAAAAGATAAGACAAGAAAAGGAGAAATCCCACATAGACTGACCCACCCATATGGACAGGAACGAGGTTGCTTGTACAAGATGGTCATGGATAAGGAAGGGCCCCTAACCATCCTGACTGGCCAAGAAAGAGTACAGAAAGACAGAGATCTAGAGGGACTGCAAGACAGAGCCAGCCAGAGAAGCTGAGGGGCAAAGTCATCTGTAACGCATTCGTGGCTGAACCCTGCTGGAGCCAAGCAATTACCTCTCAGAGAGGCTGTGGTGCACCTGACATAGCTGCAGGCTGGCCACAAGACATTCAGGGCACTGGCAAAGTACAAATGACCTTTGAGAGTATTTAGCCTCTATGTCCACATCATTATAATTGGCCTGGATTTTTCCCTACCTCACTACATAACCAAATACAGAAAATTGGCTCATATGGATGTGTTGTGCTCATATAGTTCCCTCTTCTTTGAAAGCAAATAAATTATTTAGACTCTTTATTTGATCCACTGAATCATTTATATGCTTAATATGAATATATCTGCTTTAGGAAGCATTTAGTGGCATCAGCTCTACTAAATAAAGTCAAATGACATCCTTCCTACTTGTGGAGTTTTATCCTATTAAATTTTACATGAGGGATACTGATTATTCCATTGCATGATCATGACTTATTTAAAAATATTCCTTTCTAACTAAATTATGCCTAATACTGGCAAACGGAAATGTTAGCAAATACTTACTTTTCATTATTCAAAGATTCAATACTTCTGAATCTTTACATTATATTCTAAAAAGTGTGAGCAAACAAAATATTGATGTTAACTCAATCAAGAATTATAAACTGATCAAAGATTTAGGGCATATATCAGGATCACAACACATTATACCTTTGTCTACATAAACCACACTGTATGCCCTGCAATTATAGACATAAGTATTGGAAGAATCTCACTAAGCTCACACTCATTCCCTTGTGCATGTGTGTTTG